AAAAAAAAAAAAGAAAAATGAATAGAAGAAGGAATATTAATCAATGTTATTTTTGAAGAACAGTAAATTCTGTTTCTTCTCCCCCTCCCCTCTTCTACTTTCGCTTTATTTCTTCTTCCCTTTTGTTTTTCTTGTTTTTTCTACTTCCATCTCATCCAAAATTTTAAAATTATTGCGTAGACACATTAATAATTGCTTTATACTTTATAGCCCAATAGCAGCTAAATAATTGAAGATTATAATAAACAAAGGAACAGGAAAAAGATAGCTTTAACAGAACTGAAAAAAGAAGAGAAGAAAGAAAAAAAAAGGAGCTTACTTTGATATATTTAGTGGAAACAGTAACGGGGCAGTAAAAATTATTAAACCAAAGAAAAAAAAACAGGATTGCCAAAAGAGAAAAATAATGTTGAAGGAAGACAATTTGTTGTTAACCGATTATGCACGATTTTTTTTTTTTTTTGTCTATTTTTGATTGCTGTCAGATAAATGACAATACAAAAAAAAAAAAAAGCATCAACTAAAGAACAACAACGATCAAACTTTTTTTGTCTATCCGTCGTCCGTCCGTCTGATATATCATTGAGGACAATTTTGAGTGTTTAATGATCAGTTTTTGGTGACAAATTTGTAATTGATAAACAATTTTGTTGGTTTCTTTTTCTACATTAAATTTTCCATTTGCGCCTTATAGTCAGAATCAATTTACAACTGATGAATAACGGTCAAATAATAATAAAGTCTGTTAAATGGTTAATTATATGTCATCGAGAAAATAAAAATTTCCACAACCAAATACCGAGGCAAAACAACAACAAACATAACTAAATTTGAGAAGATTTATCACACATACATACGTCCGTTATATTTTATAACTGTACATCTTCTGATTACCGTAATTATTTGAATATATTTTCTGTAGAAACACTGCTCATAATAACGAATCAAATAACAGCAGATAGTAGAAGATGGAAAAAAAAAAGTTAAGAATTGAAAAAATAATCCAAAGTAACTTAATTAAACTTTTAACTAATGACACCAATAACTAAAATTCAGTTTCTTCTTTTTTTCTGCGTTTATCAACAAAAAGAGTTAAACTCAACCAAAAGTATATATTCTGTTACAAAGGCTCAGCACTGTCTTTCAAAGAGTTTATCACAGCAAAGATGAAAAAAGATCCTAAGAAGAAAATGAAAGAATTAAGCAAAAAAAAAAAAGTGACAAGAACCACTAAAAAAACAATAACCCAAAAAACTATATGCTTAACAACGTGCAAAAAATCATATTTATCGAAAAAAAAAAACCCACAACAGGTTGCCATTTTGATTACTGCTTTTAATAGCCGAGTGATTACAACTGTTTGTGATGTCAGAAATAAAAATAGAAGCAATTAAATAAGATAAAAGCTAAAGCTAAAAAAAAAAACAAAACTGAGCACAAAAACTTAAAATTAGCTGTTCAGTCAGATGAATGTATTAATTTAAAAAGCTGCTTTTAAGCTATAAAAAAAAAAAAACCAAGCATAAAATTTTATTCTGCTATTTTTTCCAGCTGAACATTTTTCCGGCTATGATAATATCAAAATGACAACAGCACTTAAGACAGTATGGGATCAATCAACACCACTGCTTAGCATGTTCTTCTAATTTTCAATTCATCTTCGGTCAACTAAAACCGTTTAAAACAAATAGCCAGTATTCCGGTATTTAATGCATGTACCCTCTATACAACACTATTGTTCCATCATTTAGCCAGTAAAGTTTAGTCTAGTTTGATAATTACACAACAACAACAACAAAAAAACGTACAAAAAAAAAAACTTGACAGAGAATTAAGATTGCAAAAGTTTTTGGTAGATAATATACGGAATACCGATGGTAACCAGCCGATAATTACTGCCGATGCTCATCGGAGTACAACATTATACAGAGCGTAACACTGGCAAGC